GCTTCGTGGCACTTCCTGTCTAGCCCAGGTCCAGCTCCACCGCCCGCGGTGGGGGACTTCTTCTTCCTGCCTTGTTTACCGGTTGGATCTGTCCCTAAAGTGGGGGTATTTTCCTACTTGATCGATCATGCCCTTTTGCATCGGTCCGCTTTCGGCTAGCCGCATTGCCCACAGATCCAACACGGAAAAAAGAGAGCTGAAGTGCTAGAGCAGTGCAAGCCTACCTAGAACGTTACCTGACACTTAGAAGCGAATGATGAAACGTTGCTCCTCTCAAGATCTTCAGCAGCAGGTAGGTCAATGGGCCTCGACTTGCTGCACTCAGCCCTTAGCCTTGTAAGGCAGGGGTCTGAGAATAATTGGTGGGGGCTCTTGTGCCCGGCTCACTGTCGTGGGCCTGGTCTGGGAAGCCTTCTTGCCTTTTTCTTCCTGGGAATTCTGGTGACTTTGGCTGGGGTCTTCAGCTGGATATATCTGCGTAGCTCTGCTAACCAGGTGATCCGCGGGCAGCCCCAGGTCACTCGCCAGAGCTCGGCGGGAGTGCGCAGGCTGGCAGAGTACGCGCGTGGGCGACGAGCTGCACTTGGAGATTGGTGGGTTTAGGATTTCGGTTTCCAAAGCCCCCCCTAAGGCAGCCTCTCCTGCTCCGTGTGCACCGGCCTCCTTGGCCTCTTCCTCTTACTTTGAGCTTGTGGACTTCCCGGAGATTCCTGCTTCAGGCTATACTTCTTCGCCAACTCCCTCTCCTTATCCCTTGCAGGCCTCCGGGCCCCCGTCAGCCCTGGATTTGGGCTCTTCGCCTCCTCCTAAGGCGTCGCCTTCTAGGCCTGTTGTGCCGTGCTTGGGAGGCTGGCTGCTGGGCAAAGGCAGTGTTAGAGTCAGAGATTGAAACACCCAACAGCCTGCAGCCCTTGGGTTTGGCTAACCGCTATTGCTTCTTGAGCCGTGCGTGGTGAGGTCCTTCGCTGACTACAAGTCGGTTGTTGGTACTTTGCGCAGGGGCGGCTCATTATCCCACGGTTTCCCCTTTGAAAGCGAGTGCCGGCTCTACTTTGCAGGGGCTGGGCTCCCTTACCCCCGTCAGGGATGAATTTCGGGGCCCTGCGTGCCGCTGAGGACGGCGACGTGGTGCTCTTAGAGTTTTCCTGGCCTTGGCCGGCTGAGCCTGAGGCCGAAGTGCAAACATGCATCAGCTATGCCATCATGAAGCGGGCCTCCGGTTTCATTCTTTGCATACCTTCGGGGTTCTTGCCAGAGGAGGTCATTTTACAGGGGCAGGCGAGCGACTCTCCCGACGAGCTGGGTCCTTCCATGGAGCTGCTGGCTACAGGTGTGCGTCTGAACGCGGCTGGGGAATGGTTAGCCGTGGACTCAGGAGAACAGGTGCCGGCAGTGGACTTGCCGGCTGCCGCCGCCGCTGCTCTTTCGCAGCCGGACCTTACCACTTTTGGTGGATTCCTTTTCGTGCAGGAGGACCCCAGCCTCTTCCCACTCGCCTCCGACGTACTGAGACAGGCACAGGAGTGGGCTGCCGAGGCTTTGGCCGAAACCAGGTCTGGCTACCAAACGGCATTGGCGGAGGAGGTCTTGCCGAGGAGGCCAGGGCAGGCACACCGTCGCCTCGTTGGCCCAAGAGCAGGCGTGGCATTGCCGATCAGCTTGCGAGTTTGGTTCCCAAGGCGCCGGCGGGCGGCAACACCCTCAGCAGTGGCGCCTCAGGCTTCAGGTCTACAGGCACAGGCACAGGTCCCTTCTGCGGCCCCTCCTCTGGCTGCCGTTCTGCCTCAGCACGTTCCAAAGGCCCTTTCGCAGGTGATTGGCCCTCCGCCTCCGACTCGTCAGGTGCCAAAAGCCCCCTCCCCGGCGGTGGACCACAAACACCACCTTGCCGATACCATTGGCGGAGGAGGCGCGGTTCTCGAGGATTCTCCGGCCTCAATCGCAGGCCCTTGTGAGTTTGGTAAGCCAGCTGGCCCAGGGGAGCGGGGACTCTCTGCTAGAGATGCCTTCTTCTACGTCGGTACGGGGCGCAGCCGGACGCCAGCGCCCGCAGCAGGAGCTCCAGACGAGCCCCGGCCACTTCTCAAAGAGGATCCGCGACAACGCCTTGAGAAGGATGGATCCTTCGGGACTGGTGGTGCCAGATCACCCCACCATGGTCCGCTATCTGGAAAGGTTCGGCGGGTACAGCAAGCAGAAAAATCTGGCTTTGATAGCGTGGATGGTGGCGCTCGTGAGCGACCATCTTGCACGAGGAGCCTCCGACTCCTGTGCAGATCTGCTTGCGCTCCTCCAGATGGTGCTGGACCAGGCAAACCTCGACCAAGGAGACTCTTGCCGATGTTATGCGGGTGTGCTGGGTGTGCTGTTTTGGGGCCCTGGTGGCTGCTAGGGTCTGTCTGGGTTGTCTGTTGGTGGAATGGGGGGGGTTTGTGGGGGCTGTTGGGGTTGTTGTAGTATGGGGGGGAGGCTGCTAGGGTGTGTTTTGGCTGGCAAGGGGCGGTATGTGTGGATGTGTTTGGGTTGTTGTGGCATGGGGTGGGGTTGGCAATGGGTGGTTGGGTGGTCTGTGGGGGAAGTTTAGGGTGGTTGGGTGGTCTGTGGAGGGAAGTTTAGGAGTTTAGGATTTAGGGTTTTAGGGTTGAAGGTTTTGGGTTTGGGTTGTTGTGGCATGGGGTGGGGTTGGCAATGGGTGGTTGGGTGGTCTGTGGAGGGAAGTTTAGGAGTTTAGGGTTTAGGGTTTTAGGGTTGAAGGTTTTGGGTGTAGGGTTAAGGATTTAGGGTTTTAGGGTTTCGCCTAAAACCTAAACCCTAAACCCTAATTTTTCTTTCAATCAACGAGCGTTGCCGCAGCCGTTGCTGCGCATGGCTGGTTCTTCAGCTTTTGTGTTTCTTGCAATGGCTGATGATGACGCCAACTTCCCGCTACTGCAATTTGGTCCATGCAGATGGAGGGGTCTTCGGAAACGAGATGGGTTGCCTCTCTGTCAACACGAAAGACCTGATGTTCACTCTTTCTTGAGGGTGCAAAACTGTGATAGGGCAGGCTTGACCCTTGGACGGTGTAGATTATAGACAGGAAAGAATGCTGTTTTGCTGGAAAGATAGAAAGTGCAGCGGGTTGCACTATGTATTCTGCTACGAAATTCATAGCTTGGAGACACATGGAATTGCTGTAGTCAGCTTTATGCAGAAACTCGGTATCGCAGCAGGCTTGAACTTTGGAAAGTGTAGACTCTACAGACAAGAGAGAATGTGGTTATGCTGGAAAAATACAAAGCGCAACCGGTTGCACTATGCATTTTGCTATAGGAAATCATTATCTTGGAGACACATCGCATTTCTGTAGTCAGCTTTAGGCAGAAACTGGTTTCGCAGTTGATTGTTGAAGCCTTGGACACTGTAGCCTCTGTAGACAGGCATGTGGTTTATGCTGTAAAAATGCAAAGCGCAACCGGTTGCACTATGTATTTTGCTACGAAATCAATAGCTTAGAGACACATTGACTTTTCCCAGGTAATTTGTTGCTTCTGCTGCTACTACTGCTACTGCTACTCCCATGGACTGTGTACGTCATATATAGACAGGAAACGATATGGTTATGCTGGAGAAATACAAAGCGCAACCGGTTGCATTATGTTTCTGGCTGCGTTGCTGCCATGGCCGGCTGGAAATGCAAAAGCTGCCCTCGACTAACTTATCGCCGACCCCCAGGTAATGTCTGCAAGAAATGCGATCCGGGCAACAGAATCGGCAAGCACAACCGGAAGGTGCCTCATTTCAGGCTCCGGAAGAAGACTTCTGTGCAGATGACCCATCTCTTCCGGTGGCAAGCAATGCCAGTACAGTCTTCTGCTGCTGCTGCTGATTATCAGCTTTTTTTCCAGGCTTTGGCGGGGGAGCTCGATGTTTTGAAGGCTATGGCTGCAAGGACAGGGCTCAAGATGTCCGTGGTTCACGGTGTTCTGGCTGTGGCTTGTGCTTGGCTGGAGAAGATCGAGGGATGCAGGGTTCCACTCCCATCCTCAATGAGAATATGTGGCTTGATTTCTTTCGCCATTGCCAATGAAGCACAGTGCGATCCGGATGTCGTGAGACCAGCCTATTGCAAACACAAGAGCATTTCTGTGAAAGAGATGAGGAGCTGCGAAAGCCGTTGGGTAAATGTCATTGGTAACCTTGATGCCCAATGAAGTCTTCAGATCAAGCTCTCGAGATTAGTGCACTTGCTGGACAGTGGGGGCAAAAGGAGAGTGTTCGAGTTACGCCCAGATTCTATGAACGGAATTCCTGTGCCAATACCCATGTATAAATATGTGTACATGTCATGCCGGTTTCCCATTTGAGGCGGGAAGACATGCCCTTGCGCTTTTGCTGGCATGAGTGGACAGACAGCTGGAGACACTCGCAGCAGCGCTGATGGTCTTACCTCATCTGGAGCGAAGCAGTGATGGTCTTACCTCATTGCTCCTGGCCGCCAGCGATGATGGTCTTACCTCATCGCCTGGAAGAACTTTCACGCAGAGACGGCCGCGCGAGGCAAAATCTGCGGCTGTCAGGCTTCCCTAAGCTCAGTTTCGGCATGACTTGTTGTAGAAAAGTTGGGTTGGGTAGGGTTGGGTAGGGTTGCGCAGGGTTGGGTAGGGTAGGGTTGGGGTAGGGTTGGGTTGGGGTTGGGTAGGGTTGGGTAGGGTTGGGTCGGGTGAAAGGCGGCCCAAAGAAGCAGCCCAGAAGCAGCGGTGGAGCCAGGCTCATTAAAAGGCTCCAAAACGCCCCGAAGCAGCGAAAGCAGCCCCCAAAAGGCTCCAAAAGGCTCCCCAAAAGTCTCCAACGCCCCCGAGCAGCCCCGAAGCTCCCCAAAAGGCTCCTGGTACGATGTAGTGTGTAGTGAGTGTAGAGACAGTGGGGGTGGGCAGTTTCGTTTTGCATGCCGCAGCCATTTCCTGTGATGAAAGGAGTCATTTCCTGAAAAAGAAAATATCATAGCTTTTTTTGACATAATGTCAGCCCACCCATCCTCCTCCGGCATGGTTTTGCAAGGCGTGGTTGCCCATGTCGCGAATCCTGGTGGTCTTACCCCATGGCAGCAAAGCAGTAGTGCCGCGAATCCTGGTGGTCTTACCCCAGGCTCAGGTGTCCTTGCCCTAGTCCGAGTGGAAGTGACCGATGTGCCCGGTTACGGTACTTTGACACTCGGAGCAGACAGCAACTGGACGTTGGATGATGTAAAAAGAGTGCTGGGTAGGGTGGTCAACATCCCGTTGGGAGACTGGGGTTTTCATGCGCTGACGCGCTGCACCCCACACAACATGCCGGTCTCCCATCTGAGGCCGGAAGACATGCCCCTGCGCTTTTGCTGGCATGAGTGGAGCGAAAGCTTCAGACACTCGCAGCAGCGCTGATGGTCTTACCTCATCTAGAGAAGCAGTGATGGTCTTACCTCATTGCTCCTGGCCGCATGCGATGATGGTCTTACCTCATCGCCTGGAAGAGTGGTAACTTTAACGCAGAGACGGCCGCGCGACGCAAAATCGTCTGCACTCAAGCTTGAGCCTCGGTTTAGGGTATTATTTAGGGGTTTAGGGTTTTAGGGTCTAGGGTTCAGGGGTAAGCTCAGTTTCGGCATGACTTGTAGAAAAGTTGGGTTGGGTAGGGTTGGTAGGGTTAGGGTTGGGTTCGGGTGGGGTTGGGTGGGGTTGGTTGGGTGGGGCAGGGTAGGGGGTTGGGTGGGGTTGGGTAGGGTTAGGGTGGCTCAGGGTTTTTGGGCAAAAAACAGCTTCTGCCGCAGGCCCCCCAAGCAGCCCAAAAAGGCTCCCCCAAAGGCTCCAACGCCCCGAAGCAGCCCCGAAGCTCCCCAAAAGGCTCCACAAAGGCTCCCCGAAAAGGCTCCGAAAAATCCCAAAAGGCTCCCCAAAAGGCTCCAACTTACCGACCCACCCTTCGGTAAGTTGCCCCCTGCGGTAAGTTGCCACCCCTAAGTTGCCACCCCGCCGTAAGTTTGGTAATGTTGCCCCACCGGTAATAAATATATCCACTGCGATTTGTCCAACCAAGGCCCGTCGACCCACTTAGGTAAAAGAATTTTGCCTGCAGCTCATTTGGTGACAGGGCTCGCAGCTCATTTTAGCACGGGCAAGCAGCATGGCAGTGCAACGTTGGATTAACGACAATTGGGGTGACTTCGACGAGCCGGTCCAGGAAGCGCCGCCTGGTATGGACGACTCGCTGCTGCCTTTGACTTCAGAGCCAGCGAATATAGTGGAAGCAGAGGCAGATGGTCTTACCTCTGCTGGCCAGAATGAACGGGCAGATGGTCTTAGCTCTGCTGGCCAAAATGAACAAGCGGATGGTTTTACATCTGTTGGCCAGAACGGACAGGGCCAGAATGATAGACCGCCCAAATTGAGAAGGCTGGTCGCGTTTTGTATAAGCCCAGAGAAAGCAGAGCAGCAACGCGTGCGCGACTTGGAGCAAGAACTGCACGAGTGGAAAAAGCGCAAGGCACAGCTGCGTCTGCAGCTCATGGCTGAACGTTTGCTATTGTCGCACTATGTTGATTCTCTGTATGTTGTACAAGAGTGGGCTCGCAATCGGGCGGGCAACCGTTAATTCAGTTTTGCACAGCAGATGGTTTTACCTCTGTTTCAGAGCTTGCTCACGTTGTTGGCAGGAGGCCAAAATGGAACTTTGGGTCGTGTGGGAAGTCCTTCGCTTCTCTTTGGTGCTGTTGTTGTGGGGGGAGGAGGTCAGGACAACCCCAAGCCCTGTCAGCCGGGCGTTCCGGGGTAGCGTGCCTTCCTACTTTGCTTTGTGCAGAAGATTGAGGAGGGTTCAAGGGTGTTGGGCATTTAAGGCTTCAGGTCTTTATCATAATTAAGGCCCTGAGGTTTTTGAAGCTGAAACCCATTCTTCGCATTTGAATTAAAGCCCACAAAACCTAAAGCTCTAATCTCTAAGAAGCTTCGAAGCCTTGGATCTGCCGCTTCTGTGCACACGGCCCAAAAACCCTGAACTGCATCTGCTGCTTTCGATGTCACGGCTCAGGCAAATTCAATACCAGAAGGCTAGACAAGAGATGCTTCAAAGATGATCTTTTAAGGATGATTCGAATAACACTATAAAAGCTTATTGTTTAGGTCAAACCGTTAAATTAGTTCCTTTGGTAGACCCTGAGCCCGCGGGTTTGCAGGAACAGTGCCGAATAGGAAAACATGATGTACTTGCAGGAGCATGCAGTATTAATTTAGCCATAGCCTTACAATCCATGACTCAGAACCACTCAGACCTGCAAAGCTAAGTTTTCGTTTCACCCCTGCCTTTGCAAAACATGGCAGGCCGAGGCCGAGGCTGGGGCTCCGGCCAGGGTCGCGACTGGTACGGCAGCTGGGGCCGCAGCTGGGACAGCGGCTGGGACAGCGACTGGTACGGCTGGAGTGATTGGGGTGGCTGGTGGAGCGGTTGGCCAGAACAGTGGCCAGGTGATCTTGCCACTGGCACCGCCACTTCATTGCGACGTACATCCAGGAGGAGCTTCTCTGCCACATCGCCATGAGGGCGACGTCGCCGGACCGCTTTGGCCACAAGAGAGCCCGCAGCCCGCATGACCATCAAGGGCCTTCAAGCTGAGGCCGCTTGGCGGCATTTTGTGCGGGAGACCAACAAGCTGGCAGAGCAAGGTGTGCTGGCAGATCTGGAAGATGGCAAGGTGGCCTGGCACCGCTGCCCACCAGCCAAGCGGGTCCTGGAAGAGGACGAGGACGACGCTCCCGCAGAGGAGGAGGCCTAACAAAAGTTCTAAAAGTCCAAACCCTTAAACCTGAACCTTTTAAACCACTTTTAGGTTTAGGGCTTACTTTTTAGCTTTGAGGTCGATTTTATTCTTGTGGGTCCGCTTTCTCTTATAAGCGAAAACATTGTCTTTGCCAGGAAAAAAAGCAGGACGACGATTCCGTGGACTGGGGCGGCTCGGAGGAGTCACTGTCTGAGGCGGGAGGGCATGCGGCGCCCGATCATGTAGAGACGGATGAGTCGTCTGATGGTCTTACCTCAGACGAAGAAACGCAAGAGGATGCTGCGACTACAGGGCCTGCTCCGCCCCAGTCAAGATGGGAACGACTGAGAGCCTTGGCCATCAGGCAAGTTCAGGCAGCCAGAGACAAGAATGGTCTCAGCCAAGAGGCTGTCAACCTGGTGCGGAGCGTTTCCGAGGAGGAGCCACTGCCCAAGGAGCTTCTGAGCTTGAAGATTTCTTTCTGCATCTGCTGCTTCGGCCGTGGATGGCAGCTCAGGAAGGCGTTGCCAGCAAATATTATGCTCCAGCGCGGCCACATGCAGAATGTGCGTTTCTGCATTTCTTTGTATGACAATGCCGGCACGGATGGCGAGAAGACAAGAGTTTTCATCGAAGAACATTTCCAGGAAGAGCTGGCAAACGGGTTCTTGGTGGTCCGCTTTGCAAATGATGTGCCGCATTTTCATTCCCCCGTGTGCAAGAACGCGGCTCACAAGCTGGCATTGTTGGTGCCTTGGGGCCAAGGCTTTGTGTCCTCGGATGGTCTTACCTCCTTGGACACGGACTGGACAAGGGAGCCGCAGACCTGGGAAGACGTGGCGCCAGCGACAGCTGCCTCCACGGACAGACGCAGGCACATCCTAATCAACCTGGACGCCGACAACATTTTGTCTGGCAATTTTGTTGGCCTCCTTGCCGCCAACAACCAAGTCCACGGTGGCATTACGACCCTGCCGAGGCAGATGTTTGGTTTCCGCTGCGTGGGAGGAGGTGACTCTGGCTGCACAGGCCGCATGGGCGTGACACAGGACCGCAAGGGTTGCTGGTTTTTTAGGTTTGGGGTTTATAATAGGGCTTTAGGGTGGTATAATAATAGGGTTTAGGGTACCGAAACTTATAAAGTGCCGGATTTTTTTTCACGTGAGGAAACCTTCCTGCAGCTCAACGGCTACGACGAGTCCTTCTACCCGACTGGCTACCAGGATGTTTGAGTCAAAACATGGCTAACCCGAAGCCCTAAACCCTCACGTAACAAGCGCAGACCCTAACCCTATAATATAAAACTTAAACCCACCCGAAGCCCTAAACCTTGAATGTGCAGGACATCGACTTCTTTGAGCGCCTGAAGCACAAGGCGCCGGGCTGGGCCTATCGACTCTCCTTCCACCGCGGGTGGTCGATCCCAAATGACAGAGACGAGAAAGTTGCCCAAACCACAGCAAAGGTCCAACATTCGGGCTGCAGTCTCACGTGGTCCTTGCAAAATGCAAGGAACAGGGACAGCAGCAAGGAGCAGCTTAGTGAGGGGCGGTGGTTCCGGAATACGGACACGCAACCGGAGCCCCGCAAAGCGCTGCTGCTGCTGAAAGCATTGGGCGGCCCCTCACTAAGCTGCTCCTTGCTGGCTGCTGGAAGGATCAGGGATGGTCTTACCTCCCAGGTCAGGGATGGTCTTACCTCCCAGGTCAGGGATGGTCTTACCTCCCAGCGCGGTGCAGGCGAGGACCATGCCAAGACAGAGGTCGATGAGGCGATGGAGGTGGACCAGGAGCCCCCAGTCCAAGCCACGAAGGAGGAGGCGGCAGCTGCTGCAGACGCGGCGATGGAGTCCGCAGACGAGCCGGCCACAGCGAAGGCACGTCCAGCGGACAGGCCTACGGCTGGGATGGTCTTACCTCCCAAGCGGAACAAGGTCTACGTGGACATTGTGACGTGTGGGGTGGCCAACCTGCAGTTCACTTTGGCCCCGGCCAGCGGCAGGAACAGGTTGCCGGCAGCCCTGTACCACAAATGCAAAGCAATGAGGCTGTTGGCAACTTCCAAAGGAGACCGGGCGGTGGACCACAACGCACTTGTTGAGATGCTGCGCGAGGTGGACGTTTTCCCGCGCAACACCACGGAGCATGTTGCGTTGGACACGCGGGTCTTCCACGACCCCCGGAATAAGAACACCCTGCGCCACCACATAGGGTACCACCCCGAGATCATACGCATGGTGGCGGACACCCAGACGACATGGTTCCACGAGTTTGTCCGCTTTGTGCGACGCGCGGTCCGCGCCGCACAAGAAAAAGACATCCCCGCGGGTCAGCGCAGGTCGGTCGGCGTCCTCTGCTTCTGCAAGAGCGGCAACCACCGCTCCGTGGCCATGGCCTTTCTCCTCCAGCACGCCTTACAAAACTCCAACATCATAGAGGCAGTTCAATGTGCTCACGTGACCGAGATGGCAGGGAACTGGGCAGAGCGCCAGTGCGGACCTTGCGACATTTGCCGTGGGCAACCAAACCAGGTCAACACGGCTCATGATAATATTTTGCGCCAGGCGAAACATCGCGCCAGGAGTGCCTGGAAGCATGCAGTCCAGAGCGCGTGAGTGAGAGACTGGGGCGATGGTCTTACCTTGCTTCGGTGTACAGTAGTAGCAGCAATGGTCTTACCTTGCTTGTGCACGGTCCTCGCAATGGTCTTACCTTGCATTTGTAATTAGAACGTTTCATGCTGTCTTCCAACACAGCACTGCTCCCGAAACCTTGTTTTGACGTTGTTTATGTTGTTGTAAGATGTTTTTGGTTACAGAATCAAAACACTAGAAAGCTGTTTTGATTAACCGTTCCGAGGAGCAGTGCCGTTGCAGCACAAGCTTTCGTGTCACACCGGCGCAAGATCCCGATTCCTCTGCTTATAAGTGAGCCCATAATTTTTGTTCATGGTTCACCAGCCGTTTAGGAACTATTAAGGAGTAGGCAGAAGAACTAGGATACCAAGCAAACCTAACTAGGATACCAGTTCTAAGCCTAAAGCCCCAAACCCTAAAGGCCAAACCTAAGTCCATTAGGGTTTAAGTTGGGTTCTTTTAAACCTAAAACCCTAAAGCCCCTAACCCTACAGCACAACCCCCAGGGTTTTTAAAACCTAAAACCCTAAAGCCCCTAATACCCTAGAGACTCTAACCCTAAAGCAAGACCCCCAGGGTTTTAAGACCATTAGGGTTTAAGTTGGGGGTTTTAATAAACCCTAACCCTAAACCCTACAGTAAGACCCCAGGGTTTAAGTTGGGGGCTTATTTCCTCAGGCTTTCAGGCTCACAGGCTTTCAGCATCATCATCATCATCATCATCATTCATCATCATCTACATCGGCGCTGCTGGTGCCGCTGCTGGTGCCGCTGCTGGCACCACTGGCCGGCCTCCAAGGCCGGGGTTTTAGGTTTAAAAGGTTTAGGGTTTAGGGTTGGGGTTTTAGGTTTAGTAAGTTTAAGGGTTTAAAGTTATTTGGTAATTGGGAGTTTCCGAAAATTTGGGAATTCCTGTATAGTACCTTAATGTAACAGTATCCTTGTTATAAGGACCCGGACCCCTAAGTAAGCTACCCCTAATTTTGGGAAACTCCCATCTGAGGGTAAGAGTTTATTAGGCAGGTATTGTGGGGTTTGGGGTTTCTTTATTAGGTGTAATTTGTAAGAGTTTATTAGGTATGGTAGGGTTTTGGGTTTGTTTGGGTTTGGGAGTTTAGGTGCAAGAGTTTACTTAGGTATCGTAGGGTTTTGGGTTTGTTTGGGTCTAGGAGTTTAGGTGCAAGAGTTTACTAGGTATCGTAACGTGTTGGGTTTGTTTGGGTATAGCAGCTTAGGTGCAAGAGTTTGCTAGGTATCGTAGGGTTTGGGAGGGACCGTTTGGGTCTAGGAGTTTATGTGCAAGAGTTTACTAGGTATCGTAGGGTTTTGGGTTTGTTTGGGTCTAGGACAAGGAGTTTCTTCAGCAACTTCTGCTCACAGCAGTCCTACTGGCAAACAGTCCCGGGCGTGAAGTCGTCCCCACATTTGTCAGCCATGGCCGTCATGCACAACTACACGGTGGAGTTCCAGATCAAGCAATGTAAGGATCGGCTCAATGACCAGTCACCGTACTATGTGTCGGTCTATGGGAGCAGTCACGAAGATTCAATCAAAAGGTCTGACGCAGTCCCTGGCCCAACCCCCGTTCCTTGACTTTTTTACTGTCACAGTCATGCAGTCTTACAGTTCACACATGACACATGCACAATACCAAGGTCTGGAACTTCTCGGGGTTCTTGCAGCTTCACAATCACCAGATGATCCTCTTCGTGTTGCATCGGCAGGGCCGGGGTGCCGATCAGCCTATCTCCACAGGGAGTGTGGCATCCACGCTCCTTCGGGAGTTGAAGGACAACTACTTGTTGGAGTTGACAGGGCGGGAAAGTCATACCCTTGAGGTGGAACTGAGGTGCCGAGGACAGCCAGTCGAGACAGTCCCGCAGTCTGCAGCAGTCTCACAGCCAGCTGCAGTCTCACAGTCCGCTGTCTCGCAGTCCGCTGTCTCGCAGTCTGCAGTCCCAGAGTCAGCAGGCCCGCTGTCGGGAGAGACAACCATAGGACAGGTTTTGCACCTGACAAGCTTCGATCCACCAGAGCCCGAGCTTGATCTTCATGATGATGTGTTTGCACCGTCGGCCCCGGATGCAACCCCTGGTGGCTATGCTGGTGCAGACAGAGCAGGTAGGAACATGGGCAAGTGTTGTGTAGTCTAGCAGATTCAGATTCACTGTGTGTGTTCAGCAGCATCTCCCATGGCACAGGTGCAGAACAGGCTTTGTTGGGCATGCGGTCCAGCGCTCGTCCAACCCGGCTTCTGGATTGGGAGTATTTCCAGTGGCATCTCAGGATTCTCATTTCAAGATATGCACAGTCATGTTCTTGAACACTTGCCTGTGTATGTGATTTGTATCATTGTGTGTAATGAGGAATGCAGCCACTCCCACGCAAGTTCCGAAAGTGGATCCTTCTTTCCAGTTCAAGTGGATCTCCATGGTCTTGCAGAAGGAAACCCAGTGGGGCCCTGTGACATTTGACGACAACATGCTCCAGACTGCTATGCGCTGTTTTTTGTATGCAATATGAGTCTGTTGATCATGTCATGTCATTGTCAACTTCTGCTTGGAATCTGAGGTAAGTCGGCATTGACCCTGTTCCCGACAGTCCTGCAGTCTTACAGTCCAAGCACAAAGCCTTCGGACATGAGGGAGGAGTGCAGCTTGTCAAGTCGAGTTGCTGTTTGCTCTCTGTCTAAGTCCAACTGCCAGTTAGATCTAAGGTATGATCGAGTTCCTCTCGCACGAGATGCAGCGTGCCAAGTTCAACATGTGGCTGGATGTGGCTTGTCACAAGAATACATATTAGAGACTGTGAATGGAGAGACTGTGTGACTGAGTCATGGAGAGACTGTGTGACTGAGGATATTTTGGACAGCAATATCCCGTGCACTTCGGCCATTGTCTACCACTGGTGCTTGCACGGCTTTGAGGGGTTCGGCCAATCCAGAGGTGCCACAGACTATCTGTACCCGAAGGGCCTGGATTTCAGTCTTACCAAGCATGTGCCTTCCATGATGTTATATGAGAATGATTGTTGTGTTGGTGTTGTGAGCGCTCATCACTTAGTGGCAAGATCTTTTCATCTAAGGTGGATGACACTATCCTCATCCTTCGTGATGCTATGATTTTGGTGGGTGCTCTTGCACCCAAGGGACCTGATGGCAGTGGAACTCTCGGTCGATCAGGCACACAGTCCACAGGCCCCCAGTCGTCAGTCACAATGCCTATGCCAAGACAGGACGAGTGCTGAAACTACACCATTGTGTGTTACTGCACTGCTGGTGATATGTATTTTGTTTCTTGCCCTCTGTGAGGAGACCCCAGTCAACTTTCTCAACAGGTGGTTCGGATCCTGCTGGGACTCGTACAAGGCCCCCTTTGGCTGGTCATTGGAGATGGATCGCCAGGAGTTCGTCAATGGCAGCTTCAGGGTGGTCAAGGCCATGAAAGACCCCTTCAGTGACTTGTTTCAGTTAGTCGGAGGAGAGATGTGCTGTGTTTGTATCAAACTATACTTGTCACTGGTGTCTTCCTGAGGTCCCACGGACTTGTTTACGCAAGATGACTGTTTCAGCTTCTGGACGCCTGTCAAGGGGCATTTCGTTTGGGTATTCTACAGACAGCCGATCCAAGACGGGGAAGCCTTCCAAGTGCCGTCGATTTTCTTTTGGAAAATCTTGCAGCTGCTTGACAGAAAAGATACATGACAGTTGTGTAGTTTGATGCTGTGCAATTGTGATCAGACATGACATCTTGTTTCGAATTTCTGAGGCAGCAGGTCGACGGCCACTTCAAGTACTCAGGCAGCAACTACATCTGGAGCCCGACAAATACAGTCGAAACTTGGTACAACATTTGTTTCCCCTATCTCCCCACAACCAAACAAAATGAATACAAGTCATGCGTGTAACTCAGTGATGCATCCCAGGATGAGTTCAAGATCGAGCGGGCAGAGAAGCAGGTCCTCAGGCCCAACTGGATGATCACGGCTATCCCCGGTGTGCAAAAGAGCTTCATGTGCCCCAGACCAACAGTCCTGCAGTCCTTCAGTCTTGATTTTGATATTGTGTGCAAACTGAGGCAAGTCACAAAGTGGGAGCTTGACCGTATGGCTGTGGTGACTCCCAAACATGATCCTGTACGCCGTGCTTTTCTGCTGGAGATGTAGCTTGCTTGCAGCTAGATTTAGGGTTTAGGGTTTAGGATGTTTGTCACACATGCATGTGTTGCTTACTCAGGAGCCACGAGCCGTCATTCCACTCACGTGTGTCTCCGAAGCTGACTCTTGTCAAGTTGGATCCGGAAAAGATCCCGGACAACCTGATGGAGTGTGTGCGGTATGCCCAGTGATGTGGCACTGTCCTACAGGCTTACAGTCCTGCAGTCTTTACTGTGTAATGTCATCAAATACAGCAGTCATCTTAGACTCAACTGCTTGAATGCACAGACTGTGGGACTTGTGGCCTGTATTCGGAATCCTCCTGCACAGATGGTCACTGTGCCCTTTTTCTTTCTCGTGCATGAGACATGACTCTGTGTGTTCGAGATTGACCCAATGACTAGCAGCAGAGGGCTGCCCAGTCCAGCAGTCATACAGGCCTACAGTACATATAACCCATTGCCATACAGCCTACAGTTGTCATGTAACTAGGCTGGGCGCCCTGTCGTCTCATCATTGCTGTACCGACCAAATGTTCTGCGCAAAAGTGTGTTCCCAGTTCCCCCAAACCCTCAATTCAACCCCCACCCAAAATCTCTTACCCCTTAATGAAGGAATATTACCTTGAATCATGTTAGGGGTCTTATATGATCTTGCTGTCAATTATTAATTGACAGCAAGATCATATAAGAATATTTCATATATCTAGAATCCACCCAAAACCTTAAACCCAAACCCCTAATTATTAACTAGTATAACCTTCAGCCTGGAAGGCTCTGCCCAGCCGCACGCTGCTGTGGCCTTGAAGAGGCCACAGCAGGAGGGTTTAATTTTGTTTGGGAATTAGGGTTAGTTAGGGTTAGTAGGGTTTAGAGTTTCAGGGCTATATTCTGGTATTACCCTAAATTATGTTCGGGATGTAGGGTTAGTCCTTGGGGATTCTGGCCGGGTGAGCACTCATCAAGCCTGTGGAAAAGGGTTAGGTAGGGTTAGTAGGGTTTAGAGTTTCAGGGCTGTATTGTGGTATTACCCTAAATTATTTTCGGGATTTAGGGTTGTAGGGTTAGTAGGGTTTAGAGTTTCAGGGCTATATTGAAATTGTGGTATTACCCTAATTGTCTTTGGGGATATGAATACCATTTCAAGATTCGAGAGTTTGGGGTTTTGGGGTTTTAGGATTCAGGTATAGTAGACCCCATAATGTTGAAAACCAGATAAAGGCAACATAGTGCTGTTATCCCCATACACTTGTTAAGGATTGATACTGTAGGGTTCCCTGATTCTGTCTTACTACTAAAAACTAACTAGCTAATACTTATTATTGAATACTTGACACAGGCTGATATTGTCACACATCAGCACAAATGGTGTACACAGGTGGTCAGAAGACTTACCTTTACCCAAGACCTGTGCAGTAATGCACCCAGAAGATCAGAAGCTTTACCTCATGCATCAGCGCAAACCGTGTTTGCAGATCGGAAGAGTTACCTTTACCATTCATTGTGCAGAAATGCACCCAGAAGATCAGAAGCTTTACCTCATGCATCAGCGCAAACCGTGTTTGCAGATCTGAAGACTTACCTTTACCATTCATTGATGTCTGCACATCCGAGGCCAAGCTGCCCCAGAAGATCAGAAGCTTTACCTGATGTATCAGCGCAAACCACCACCACCACCACCACCACCACCACCAGGACTACCACTACTACGACTACTACTGTAACTCCTACTAGTACTTCTGTAACTACTACTTTAGGGTTAAGGGTTAGGGTTTAGGGTTTAGGGTTTAGGGTTTAGTACCATTACAGATATACAGTAGGTTGTTTTATTTTTCGGAGGGGCAGGAGCTTAAGAAAACCTTAAACCCTAAACTCTAAACCCTAAACCCTATAACCCTGCCATTGAAATCCTAAACCCTACTAGACCCTAAAACACCCTAATCCCTAAACTACTACACTCTAAACTCTAACCAGGCTTGGGGGCCACGCCGGCAGATGTTCTGGTGGGCAGAGGCAGCACCTGATTTTGGTTTTAAGATTTAGAGGTTTTGGGTTTTGGGTTTAGAATTTAGGGTTCCGGATTAAGGGTTTTAGGGCTCGGGGTCAGAGGTTTAGTAGTGTTGAGTTTCAGGTCTAGGGTTCAGAATTTATAGGTGTTGGGTTTAGAATTTATGGGTTCCGGATTAAGGGTTTTAGGGCCCGGGGTCAGAGGTTGTAGTGTTTAGTTTCAGGTCTAGGGTTTAGAGTTTATAGGTTTCGGGTTTATATTTTAAGGGTTCCGGATTCAGGGTTTTAGGGCTCGGGGTCAGAGGTTTAGTAGTCTGTCAGTGTTTTAGTTCAGGTCTAGGATTTAGAGTTTATAGGTTTGGGGTTTTAGAATTTAGGGGTTCCGGATTAAGGGTTTTAGGGCTCGGGGTCAGAGGTTTAGTAGTGTTTAGGGTTTGTAGTGTAGGGTTTAGGGTTGAAGATTTGGGTGTTTTAGGGTTTTTAGGGATCAGAGAGTTAGTTTTCTGCAGCATTTTGCAATCCCTAAGACCTTAACACCCTAAGCCCTAACATTAGGTTAATGTCATCAGACTGAAGCCAGACTTAGTAGCTTTTGGGATAATAATAGTGCCCACTATAAAACTCCACTCAGCAACTAAGCAGAGGCTCAAATTCTCCTGCAGTCCCACAGTCCTGCAGTCCTGAAATCATGCCCTTTGTAATCCACATCATTAGACTAAGAACAAGTGACAGCCACATTGGCACCGGTGGGAGGACCGGTTTTACTGGTGGAAAACAGCTCTGAGAGCTTGGTGGGAGAAGAACCACGCACTGGACGATCGCTCAGATGGACGCACCAGTGGTGCCAGTGGCGACGATCGCAATGACTTGGCTCCTGTGTGGGTTTCCAACCCCGGGAAGCCCTACAACGACCATTACTGCGGCCTGGTCGGCACAACTCGCAGGTGCATATGGCATCACTAACCAGTGCGCCGTGATGATCCTCACTGACATATGTGCAGGCGAGCTTCATCAGCACACATCTTCATTGACATCATCGACATCGAGCTGGCCAGGGTTTAGTAATTTCCAAGCCCTAGAGTAACAAATAAAATTTAGCCACAGATTATCATGTTGTAAATCTGACATCGACAAGATTACTATTTCTAATTTGCAGAGCACTCTTGCGGACTGAGATAGAGTTTCAATTCCTAATCAAAGCTCTTGATTGAAGAAAACCTCAAACCCTAAACCCAAAACCACCCTAAACCCCAAGACCCTAAACCTTAAACCCCTAAACCCTCAACCCTAAGCCCTTAAGATTGAGGACAATGTTTCAACCCCTAAACCTGAAACCCCTAAACCCTCAACCCTAAACCCTTAATAAAGATTTTGGACAATGTTTCATTTTTCATTAGGGTTTAGGGTTGCAGGAGTTCAGAATGTGAGATGTTGTTAGAAATGGACAGGCTAACTCTTAACTCACCCCTGCAAACCACTAAGCCCCTTGAAGTTTTGTACCCTGAACTCCTTAAAGCCTCTGACTCTATTACTATGTCTTTTGTATTTAATTTCATTTAGGGGTTTAGGTTTTAGGGTTTTGGGAGTAAATACATAGAACCCGAGATCAAGATCCAGAACCCCAAAACACTTTAAATCCATGCCCTGCAGACTGGCTTTAGAGTTTAGTGTTTTGGGTTTGGTTTTGGGTTTAGGTGGGCTTTGTCTTTGGGGCTTAGGAATTTGGATGTGCCAGGTATAGAACTCAAATGCTAATTATAAGTTAAATCTCTGAACTATTCAAACCCTAAACCCTAATACCCTTACCTGTACCCACCTTTTGTTCAGGTTGGCGGCG